CAGGGTTTGACTATGCTGTACACCTTGTATAGACAGCGAAAGATCTAGTTAGTATGTTTGTGTTTTAGGAGCCTATAAACGGCTGCTTGCACTGTATGCTTCCCAGGAAGTTGAGTACATAAAAAAGTTTCATAATGCTCTCAGGTCTGCTGGGGTAATAGTATAGATTGTGAAGTACATAGAACTTGCAGTTGAGCGGGGATTTGTGCTATGCAAATGTTATCTATTATTATTATTACCTTACAACAAAGTCAACAAAGTGAAAGTTTGTCTTGTCTTACAATGGGTCTTCTCACCACTTTGGAATTTTTTTTCCTTGTGTTTTCCCTCTTGATACTAATTAAAAACTCTGCTGATAAATGAGATGAATGACATAATCAGCTGTACTTTTAAAACACAATACAGAAAACTGAGTGGTAACGTTCAACAAATCATCTTATACCATAGCTTCTGTGAAGACGAAATCTGACTGTGAGCCATTAAGGTCAGCTGGGATGAACTGCTGTATAAAGTCTGCCCGGTCAAAGAGCTCACACTCCTGAGAATAGTACAAGACATTCAACGATGAAAGGAAAATCATTCAGAGTACATGCAACTTAAGAAATATGCATATTACAAACGGAAAAACATTAATTTTAAGGCAACTGTGAAGGGATCTAAACTGCTGGTCAAGCGGAAGGAAATTTATTTGTGTCACGACGCAGTGGAATCAAGCACTCATCAATTTTCAGGCATGGAAAGTTGTTGGTATAATCTAAAAGCTTAATCATTTGCCTTGTTTTCAATTTTAAAAAATACGCATCTACTTTGAATAACATTCAAGATACTTGCCATTGAAGGAGGTTGGGGTTACTTGGTTTTAGAGGTGAAATAAGAGAGAAAAATGGCCGCCACAGTTTGGTGAAAAAAATACCTTGTACTTTTAATCAATGTTTTTCAGTTAACTTCACAAGGAAATGTGTTTTTGTATGGATATAAAGGGATTGAGCCAAAAATCCAAAATTTGAAAAATATTGCCAAACTGGTGCAAAAATGCCTTTCTCTGATTTCGTTATTTTGACGAGTGCCTGATTTGACCATGATACCTCACATATACTGACCATTCAAGAATATTTGTTTATCATTTACTTTGATCAGTTTTGTACAAATATACTGTACTGAGAAAAAGTCTACCTCTTCAACTGCATTGGTGGTACCCCAACTCCTGAATATCAATTTGAAATTCAGGAACAAGGTACAAGTTACGAGGTATAAAGTACAGGGTGAAAGGAACACAGTGTAAGGCACCCAGGTATGTGGGGGCAAGATACTGGTGTTATAAGATATAGAGCTGCAATTTATGGTGAGTCTACACGCAAATAATTAAGAAAAGTGATATTGAAAAGAAGGGGGAGGGGGGCAGACCATACAAAAACACAAATAGAAGACGGAAACAGAACAATGCTAAATACTTGTGCTCTACCAGTAAAGATCACGGCCGGGAAAATCATCTTGTTATAAACAAAGGCAAGCAGTCATAATCATCCAGAGCTGGAGAAATCAACACAGCACATTTGAATTTACAGATAGCGGAGAAGAATGAATAAAATGACTTTCAAAAAGTTTCAACTCGTAATCTTGGGAAAGGAGCACAATTCTTTATGAACAAGAAACAAAAAACCCCAATAAAAATATATGTGTATAACATTTTCATCAATGGACAAGCTGCACTAAAGAGAAGATTTTCATTGTAATTGCACTGTATAAGGGGCTACTAAAAGTGTCACAGACCCACATGAGAACAAACATCTCAACTGTAAAAAAAATACAACCAAAAGCAAACGGACACCGTGATAAATCAGAATGAACAAAGTGAAACGAATTGGTCCCATTTAAAGTAATTATGGTAGATTAAAGAAGGACATTTTTTAAGGGAAAGTTCCTGAAAAATTTTGCAAGGGACAACCAAAAAGATGATGAAGTCAGGATATATTTCACATTGGCTGAATGCATGGTGCTGGGAAGAACACCTTTCAAAGAGTCTGTCAGGAAGGGAAAGGACCAAATGCATGTGTTGTCTAGAAAAAGTAATTGTTCTAAATCCTGCAAAAAATTTCTTAGCAAAAAATGTTTGCGAAAGGTGTTTTATTCACAGACGGAATAGAAGTTTTTTTCTCACACCACTGTCACAAATCCAAGAGATTGGATAGCTATTATTACGTAGGTGGTATAAATTGAGACAAAATTTATCTTGAACATCTTGAATATGATGATACATCATGAGGCAGTTAAATTTGAGGAAGCAAGGGACCGCGATGAGATTCATGTAAAGGTGCAGCCCGTCTTTTCATGATAATGCCCTCACCGATAAATTATACATTAGCACACTATCACAATTACTGATTAACATAACGAAACATTATTTAGAGGAAACTAAACACAAACGAGAAGAAGACTTGAAGAGAAGAGATGACTGTACCCTTACGTATACTTACAGACAAGTTCAACTTTTGATCATCCTTCAGAAAATCTTCAAACTTTGTCAAAGGAAGCAATCTGAAACAGAAATGTAGAAAAAAACTTTTTAAAAAAACTATTAACAAAAGCAAAACAATAAGTAACACATAACTCATCACTTCAAACGTGTTTGACCGTCTCCTGTTTATTGTGTCCAAATCATCTGAGCTTACTTTATTATTTGAACTCTAGGCTGACAAAATCTTTAGTCCGAAGGGCAGTAAAGTGTTGGCAGGACATGCTGCACTGGCCATATCTACCTGAAACCTCCATAAAACATTGATGGGGCCTGAATCTACGAACGCCACCAACACAGTTCATTCAAGCAAGCATCACAAAAGGAACTGAAAAGAAGCCTTTCTAGGCATTAGTTTATATGGTATGAATTAAAAGCCAACAGACAGGCAAAAGTGAAGATGTAAAAAAGATGATACTAGTAGGAGGGAAAATTGATTAATTCAGGTAAATCATATGAGTACATAAATCATATCATATTAAAAAAAACAAAAAACAACAATAAATGAGTCACTCAGATTAACAGGACAGCTCTCTAACCGTTTTTTTTAAAATAGTAGGTTTTAAGGTGCTCGCAACTGCATAAGGTCATATCAGCGCCAAGGGGTGGGTGTCAACAGAGAAGTCTTTACAGTGAATCAGATTTATTCTGCTCACCTCTCCAGCTTCAACAGCACAAGGTCTGCTTCGACTATCAAGGCACCCCAAAATAGCAGGTCACAAGAGAGTGACAAACATACAAAAGAAGTAGAGGAAAATAACAATAGTAAGGATCAAGAAAGAAAAAGCAGCAGTTCCCTGTTGTAAATCAGGCACAGTTATGAGCGTGACATGAGTCAGCCAATTTACAATTCTACTATGCTTGAACGAGAAATGTCCATCCTTTGGGAATGGCCTAAAGACACTTCAGTCAGTGGCACTCCCCAGGGGGTTCTTTGACCGTCCTTCAAGTTTCTGAGAAAAATTTTTTTTCCAGAAAACTATATATACGTGACTTCCATACACAAAGAAAAAAAATCACTAGAGATATGAAAATTAGATTCTATTTTTAAAAAGGCACAACTTAACACAACTTTTGCGAAAAGTGAGACTTGAAAAACTTTACAAACCTCTTTCCATCAGGAGATGGAACTCCATGCTTTTTCAGAATTTGATCTGTCTGTGAAATATACAGTAATCAAATAATTAAAACAAAATGCCCCAAAAGTTACAACAAAGTAGCCCTTTCCCTTCAGAAAACCACAAATACAGGCACATATGCACGCACACACTACTGACACACACAAACATGCGTATTACAAATCTTTTTATGTACACACCCCTCTCCACTAACACTAGCACCGCACACATGCACAAACACAATGTCATTTACAATATTTAAAAACATTCATCCCTCTTTGTCATACAAGTGAACACATTTCCACCCTCACTGTTTAGAAATATGAATCACTTCTTCTTTGGGTTCAATCATAAACCGCTCAAAATATAAATTTGAACAGTCTCCGAATGGAATAGGAGTTTGTTTTGTAAAGCAAGAAGCACATTGATACAATAACTGTCCGGAACTTCCCCCAATGTGTCCCTTGTGTGACTATGCATATGAGACAGTGGATCATCACCTGTTCCTCTGCACAGCCCTAAAAGACATCAGAGCTACCCTTCTCCCTCCAAGACCTAACATTGACAACACACTCTATGGAACATTACAGCAACTGCAGCAAACCTGCACTTATCACTAAATGGCATAGGACAGAAGGGCAAGAGCCCAGCTGCTGCTGGATCGATAACAAAAACAACAACACAATAACTGGTTTCATTTGGGGAAAAAGCAAGATAATATGTGTTACGACGCGGTGGAATCAGGCGCTCGTCAATTTGGGGGCTTACAGAGTTATTGGTATCTTCTTAAAGCCTGTCCATTTGCCATGCTTTTGATGAAAAAAATACCCATTTATCCTGGATACAAGTCAAGATATTGGCGACTGAAGGAGATGGGGTCGCCTTGTTTCAGAGGAAAGATTAGCGAGAAAATGGCCGCCAAAGTTGAGTTATTTCCTTAGTTTAGGAGTCTGTGGTTACTGAAAAATTTACATATTTTGTGCCTTTAATCAACGTTTTTCAGTAAAATCCACACAGAAATGTTTTTTAAAGAGCATGAAAGGTGTTGAGCCAAAAAACAAAAATCTATAAAAATTCCCAAACCTACTGAAAAATGCCAGTTTCTTGACTTTCATTATTTTGACGAGCGCCTGATTCCACCATGCTGCCTCACATATATAGGCAGAAATGACAGGGGCTAAAAAAGAAGAAGGCCTGCCAGTGGCACCCTCCAACTTCTACTTAATTTTTCTATGCGTACTTTTAGTTCGTACACCCTATTTAGGAAGAATTAGCCATGAAAGAAGCTGCATGAAGACAACCTTGAGACCATCTTAAGCTAAATTGACCGTCTGCATAGACGAAAAGAGCCGTACACTTTTTTTTCTTTCACCCTATTTTGGTCTCTTTCGGAATTAATACATAGAAACTGTGTCATAATCCCACAATGTAACAATATTCTGCTTTGCTACAACGTATGTTCAACTCAAAACCCTGTAAAAGCATTAAACATTTTTTGTTTAGCAATTTGAAAACACCTACCAAATTTGTGAAGAGCACATCTGTGACGAGTGTAGCAAAATGGCTCACCATCATTTTGTCTGGCAAATTCAGCTTCTGTAATAAAAATGATTACAACGCGGGTCAATATGCCAGAAAACAAGCCACAATAACGCAAGCACAATGCATCGAAATTTGCACCAGAAAAAAGCAAAAACAACAACAATATTGAAGGAAAAAAGCGATAGTGTATGGCAGGCGGGCACGATAATGCCCACACTTCAACCAAAGATAGTAAATAACAAGATGGGCCACTCAGCCAAAAAAGTGTCCGCAGGAAGTATGCTCTTTGCTTCAGATGGCGCTGCAGTCTGTTTTGAAGCTCTCTTTCGTTCTTCCAGAAGAAGAATAGGAATAGCACCTCCTTGCGTGCGCAGATCGACTGCTGTTCATCAGCAGTTCGGGTTCATTCAGTACAGAGTTTTAGTTTTTAAAAATTTTAATGACCTCTCGCCTTTCATTCTAAAGTCAAATTAAACGAACAAAACAATCACCCTTTCCTCCGGAAGAGGTTTTTTGTCAGCGTAACCATTTAAAAAAAGCGTTCTTCCGAAATTCATTCAAAAACTTGCTAGTTTCACTTTGATTTTTTAAACTCAAGTAGGATAACTCTGTTCGCTAAAGGTGCGCTTTTGCGAAGAGGGCGCCTCTGAATTTTGAGGACACTTTTTTAATTGGCTCAAAGACACTTTTTTAATTGTCTCAAAGAGAGAAGTGGCCCCTGTTGTTATGTAGACTCTTTGCTTCAACATGGTGCAGATAAAGATAATAGCAACACTAGAAAAGACAAAGAAAAGAAAGAAAAAAAACCCATCTCAGATGAAACAAGAGTACCCACCTACAACCTTTTGTTTTAGGAGAGTTTTACAGCACTTGCAACACAATTGGGTAATATAAGTGCTGAAGATTAGAGATGTTACCAGAGAATAACAAACACAAAAAAGGAGGAGGAAAGATAAGGGTGATAGATGTTCGATAGGAAAGAAGGAGTAAACCACAACAGAGCACCCGCTAACCATCCACAGAAATGACAACAAGAAGAAAGAGAAGACAAATTACAAAAAGATCATCACCACAACAAAGACAACACTGTTAACACTATCCTTTTTAGTTTCGTAGAGGTTTTACGGCGCTCGCAACTGCAAAAGGTCATATGGGCGCCAGAAGATCAGAGGTGTTACAAGAGAGTAACAAACATAAAAAAGAAGAAAGGGAGATAAGGACGATATATGTTTGATAGGAAAGAAGAATCAAACCACACAAGAGCACCCGCCAACCACCCATGCTAACACTATCTAATTTTAATACAGTTGCAAAGATGAGTACAACAACAAAGATGGATAATGGAACACAGTGACAAACAAACCGACAGCCATGTCGTTTTCAATAAGTTTTTCAAACAAAGAAAATACATAATTATAATTCCCCTGAACTGCACAGAACTCGAAGAAGTCATATTTTACAAATTTCTTTAATGATTATATATTCAACACTCCATCCCCTCTCTCTTGAGAAAATTAAACAAACTTGACATTTCAATTTATTCCAATCACTTGCAAATGTCATGAACACTAAGTGTACATTTTCTACAAATTCCATTGAAGGTGGTGGTACTAAGAACAATGAAGCAGCTGCTATGCCATGATATTCATGACGCAAGTGAAAGCTGGACTTTCTGAAAATTCTGAACACTGTGCTGCCTCCCAAAACATTTTCTCTCCTCTGATAGAATGCACTTCAACGTAAATGCTTCAAGAAAAGCACTAAAAAATTCTATACTCACTCTTTCTCTCTTCCTCCTTCCCCTTTCTAGCTCCAATCCTCTCTCCCTCTCCATCTTTTCCTTCCCCCCCCCCCTCTCTCACACACTCTCTCTCTCTCTGTAAGAGGGCTGAGATTGAAAAATAAAAGAAAACTGGGATGTGTTCAGAATTTTGCTGAAGTCCTGTAAGCCTTCCACTGAAGGAGACACAAAATTCTTTTTTTCTTTTAAAAAAAATCTAATGAGCAGGCACGCATGCACGAATGCAGATTCAAGGACTGTTCATGTCAAGACAAAGTCAGTTTCAGTTTTAGTAGAGGTTTTACGGCACTCGCAACTGCATAGGTCATATGAGCGCCAGAAGATTAGAGGTGTTACAAGAGAGTAACAAACATAAAAAAGAAGAAGGGGAGATGAGGACGATAGATGTTTGATAGGAAAGAAGAAGCAAACCACACCAGAGCACCTTCCTTGTCTTGGTAAAGATCTGAGACAAGAAGCATGTGAGCAGTTGGTTGTCACGTTGTAGCTAAGGCTAACGACAAATCAAGATGAAAGCAGCCACATTTCCACGGGCACTACGATAACATCAAAACTCAAATGAGCGTGCAAAAGTGGACTAAAAGAGAAATGAACCAGCACATTCCCTACAACATAGAACACAACATGGGGGACAACAGCAAAAATTGTAACTGCTCTAAGAACATTTTCCCGAGAGAACACTGTGCTGCCTCCCAAAACATTTTCTCTCCTTTAATAGAATGCACTTTAACATAAATGCTTCAAGAAAAGCACACAAAAATTCTACACTCACTACTTCTCTCTTCCTCTTTCCACTTTCTAGCTCCAATCCTCTCTCCCTCTCAATCCCCCCCCCCCCCCCCCCCATTTATACCTTTGACCTCGCAAAAAAACAGCATTGTTTGATTGAGAGAAGAGACGCCCATCAACACTTTAACAGTCACTTAGTGCAGAGAACATGTAAGACAGTGAGACAAAAACAACAGAGAGTTAGAAAGATGTAGGACCTATCAGTGGCACTCTCCAACCACCCACAGATACTTCTCTTTTTAAAAAAAAAGTTTTAGTAGAAGTTTTACGGCGCTCGCAACTGCATAAGGTCATATGAGCGCCAGAAGATTAGAGGTGTTACAAGAGAGTAACAAACATAAAAAAGAAGGAGGGGAGATAAGGACGATAGATGTTTGATAGGAAAGAAGAAGCAAACCACACAAGAGCACCCACCAACCACCCACAGATACTTCTCAGTCCCAACAAAGTTCAAAACAACACATACAGAGTCACAGTGTATAATGGTTGGTTGAACACTTGTTTGCTGTAAGTCAACACATTATTGGCCACAATTTGGACAGGAAACACATCAGGACAATAATGACACTGCTAAAGCGGCAGAAGATTTGCTCCACATTAGAGTTTCCTACAACTGTTTATGTAAGAGTGTTACGGCACTTGCAACACTATAAAGTCATATGAGAGATGACTATTAGAGGCGTTACTAGGTTGTAACAATCAAATAAAAGACGGAGGAGAGAAGAGGACAATAGATGTTTGATAGGAAAGAAGGAGCAAACCACACCAAGCACCTCCAAACACCCACTGAGCACCCTTCAAAGGTGTTCAACACCACAAGAAATGTAGAGGAAGAGATGCAAAATGAGTTGGAGAGAAAAAAGCCCTAATTTGCTTCTAATTGGAAGCATTGTAAGACGACAAACTAAAAGTCAAATGTGAGCCTCTCATGCACAGCTTCATGTCAGTGACCCTATAAAAATTGTTTTTCCATCTCCACTATAAGCTTTAACACAACAGGCAAGGAAGCAAAAAAACCAAAGGAAGAAGATGGTAGGAGTGTAGCTGAAAGAGGACCTGAGGGTCTCAGTTCAGGCTTTGTAGTAAGGGAGATATTATTTTGTCATATAGGACAGAAAGAAAGAAAATAATACTTTTTGTATATTAGTTTTATTAAAGCATGAACATATTATATTTAGTTTAGACTGAGTAAACAGAAAAACATCAACACTGTAAAGAAAGACAGACCCTCCCCCCCCCCCTCCTCAGGTATATTCAGATATAAATAAGCAAACAGTCCATCAAAAATGCATGCACACATGCATGCAAACACAACTCTGTAGTGCACTTACTTAGTTTTTCAACTAGAGTGTACTTGTGCCTTGTTCAATGACAAATCAAAGTGACCACCTATATAAATAGTGACTGACACGTTTCATTGTTTATCAATGGTGCTGACCAGAAACCAGACAAGTTGATGTGAGTTAATTTTCTCAGGAGGAGTTGAAAAACTGCATGAATGAAGTAAAAAAGAATGTTCAGTCACCAGGTTTTGTATACATATCTGAGGGATATGAAGTGTTTATTTAGGCTTCTTATTTCTACATCTTAAAGAAGATCCAATATAGCGAGCGTCATAAAATCTCTACTAAAAAAATAAAAAGGAATAAAAAACATCAAACTTGGCTGACTTGTAATAATAGATAATAGATAGCATTTGTATGGCGCATATCCCCGCTCAACAGCAGGCTCTATGCGCTTTACACTATATTATTACCCCAGCAGACCATAGAACACTCCGAAACATTCTCAGCTTCCCGGGAAGCATACAGTGCGAGCAGCCGATTAAGCGCTCAAACACTAACAAACTGACAAGATCTTTCGCTGTCTATAGCCGGGTACCCATTCCCACCTGGGTGAAGTGAGGAAAATTTGTGTAAAGTGCCTTTCCCAAGGACACAACGTCGGGCCCTTGACGGGATTCGAACCCACGACCTTACGGTTACGAGTCCGAGAGCCTAACCACTAGGCCACCGACGCCATCGTTATTTTTTCTTTCAGGAACTGAATCCATTGACCCCTCCACCACTGAAAGCCCCTTTGTGCCAGGAACTAAGTCAAGACAATGGCAAAACTAAGCAAGTAAAATGGGCAACCAAACAAAAGGAGTGCCTGCAAATTCACACTACGCCGCCTACATCCAGTGAACAGAGAAGGAAGAATCAACAAATTTCAGGTGGCATGCCACACACAACAGCTCCACTACGCACACCAGTAAAAAAGGGAAGAGGGAACCAGCAACAGTCTTCCAAGGATACTCACCAACTGACAAGCCATTCAACGGAGTGCATGCTTAAAAATTGGGTAAAGCAAGGCTTTAAAATACATGTTTAAAATCTCTTACCATGATACATACAACAGCAGCTCAACCATTCATATTTGATTGACGATTAGCAATGGTCACAAACAAACCGTGTTTGAGAGTATTACAGAAGAAAGTAGTGATTAAAGAATGGAGGTGTAAGCTGTACAAAGTGTAACCTGCCCAGGTCTACTATCTCACTACTACTGCCCATTGTACAGACTGATATAGTACTATATTAAAAATAAAAAAAGTAAAATTGTTCCCGCTTCCAACCCGGACATTGGGGATTGCCTTGTTAGTGAGACAACTTCCTGGGCCTTCGGCATATTGTGGTAGGGTGGCCAGTTCCTTTCCACGCCGCCTTTACTTCCCCAACTCGAAGTCAGGTACCCATTACTACTGCTGGGTGGGCAGGAGGGGACTAAAAAATCTGTGTCCAAACCGAGGCTCGAATCCGGATTTTCCGCTCAGGAGACGAGCGCATATTATATGAGTTTAATACCCTTGTAAACACTGAGAGGTCATTGAAGAGGCAGGACTTCCTAAGTCAACATCCATCAATGATGGGAAAGAGTTAAGTGGCTGGAGAGCTTTGGAGAGTATTCAGGCAAACCAAGTTAAAAAATGCCACATTGGGGATTCAAACAAGGCCCATTCACATTGTTGTTCAGCATGATATCTACTGAGCTATAGGAGCATCCTGGAAGAAATGACTAGCTCAAGCCAAACTTGATGACAATAATAATTTGCCTAATCCTTAATGATACCAATACATAGGTCTTGCACATTAATTATGGAGAAAAGAAGAGAATCTGTATCACAGGCAATTAACATATGTGAGGCAGCGTGGTGGAATCAGGCTCTCGTCAATTTTTGGGTATGTAGAGTTATTGGTATCATCTTAAAGCTTATTCACTTGTCTTTATTTGGATGAAAAAAATATCCATTTTCTTGAAAACAAGTCGAGTCGAGATATTTGCGAAAGAAGAAGGTGGGGGTCACCTGTTTTCAGAGGTAAAATTAGTGAGAAAATGGCCGCAAAGATTAGTTATTTCCTTAGCTTAAGAGTCCGTGGTAACTGAAAAATTTACATTTTTGTGCCTTTATTCAACGTTTTTCAGAAAAATCCACACAGAAATGAGAGTTCTTTAATGGGCATGAAAAGTGTTGAGCCAAAAAACATAAATTCGATAAAAATTCACAAACCTGCGGAAAAATGCAAGTTCCTTCACTTTGATTATTTTGACGAGAGCCTGATTCCACCACGCTGCCTCACATATCACATGAAAAAGAAATTTATTAACACATTTGAACGTACCTTTTGTTTTAAAGTCAAGTACTGCTGTGAGGTTTGAAACCCATGTTGCTGAAACCATCTATGAACATGCTTCAACAAAATTCTGAAAGACAAAGAGAAGAAAAATCAAATCAAATTTTCACCCTAAACTTTGACCATAAGTTTATTTCTAAGAACCATGTCTACTTCACTCAAATAAAGATAGTCATACCCAATAACACTTCATCACAAAATTTAACAAGGGAAACTCCGAAATACAAATTGCATCACATACAGTACAGTGGACGTCAGAGTAAGACCGAAATAAGCTGATCCAGTCTTGAGCTACCCATCAAAATAAAGTTCAGCCACAAATCTTAGTTCAATTTCATATTCATATCTGTTTATTCTTGCCCCACTAGACATAGTAATGTCATATTTAAGCCCGACTCTGACACAGTCGATATGGTGGGGATGGTTTTTATTTTCTTGCTGGACTGCACCCACTGTCAACAGACTGGCACAAAAGAGAGCTGGACAGACAAATAAAATTATTACTGATGAAACAAGCCATCCACACCCGAGAGACTGTGGAGACAAAGTTTATGAATAAGTGACAGGTGACAAAAGCATAAATCAAATTATGGTTTTATGAGAATTATTATGCAAATGTTAAAAGCAGCATCAAAACATTTCCTTGTAAATGAAAGGTACCATAAGCCAGACATTACAGAAGAGGAAGAGCAGGGGGAGTTCTTTGTAAAGATTATCACTGTCACAAAAAAAACCCAAAAAACAGCATGGTGAAACTCTATAATGGGTCATGTCTGCTGTTTTGAGCTGCTCAACAGTTTGAAAGGGACAACAAACAAGAGGGAAGAAATGAAGAAAAACAAACTGTACAACTAGCATTTTTTCACAAACATCTATTTTGATAACTCCTACATCATCTTTTATAGAATCATAGCACTTTGCTACATGTTCCAGATTTCTAAATGTTCCAAACAGTGTCAATGGGAGTGTAAAACTTCTACAGTTGTAAATTACAAAACATTCTTTCTTTCCTGACTTGTAATTCCCCCCCCCCCCAAAAAAAAAAAAAATTAAAAAATATGAAGTCGCTAACACTGGATGAAAGCGAAAAAATCAAAAAATCCCACGACAACAAGGAAGTGAGCACAGATTTCCTTCCCTCCAACTGCGTGAGTTGACTTACAATCTCACTTTTAGCAAGAAAAAAAGAGCAATCCTACTACAGTACCACTGCACAGCTAGCAGGAAGGAGCCGCAGTCAAATATATTTCTTGAATAAAGTAAAACATAGTTTTTCAAGATGTGTATCTAAGGTAACGTACATGTCCATATATTTGAATTACTCTAGATTATATAGTAAATGAACGATATAAAGACACAAAAATTATTAGGGTGTATATTTTGTTACAAAAACAGTTACATAATTTAGTAAGAAAACAACAAAATCTCTCTTCAATACAACATCTACTTTGCAGTTCATGTATAACAATTGATTAGAATTTAAAAAAGAACCCTTGTCCACATCAACATTCTATATATGAATGTTAAACATATACAGACAAATAAGTTATGATTTGAATTATATCTCAACCTTTCTACAATCTATGATATTCATGTCTCTAAATGTTAAAGCAATGCGAAAATACTCCTCAGTGAACACCAGAGAGCTGTGCTCAACGCAACATATACCCCACTAGCCTCATTTCAATAGTCCTCTACCCACAATTCTCCTCTTTATCCCTCCAAAGACACTGTTGGAGGAGTAAGCCATTCATATTAAGATCAAAACTCCAGTAAGCGGGAAACAAGAGAAAAAAATGCTTCGGTACATGAGTTGGGTGAACAGTCACTTCAGTTTCAATAACTTACAAGAAGGGCAGTTCATATTCAGATTGTTAATTACATTTATTATAGTGACCATTTATGCAAGTCATAGCTTTTTTTAAAGCAATTGAACAAGAACTACAGAAAGGTAGATTTTAGAGTAAAAATAATTTAACTGTTAGAGACACTCATTGGTGAATGTAATGGTTCTTCCATTGGTTTATTTTTACAGACAGAATTGCCATGGTTCATACTACGAAGCCAGCACTAATAAAAAAAAAGATGTGTAAGCCACATCAGCAACACTGTACGTACACATTTACTGCACTATTCCCTGTCAGACTAATTGAATGAGACATGGCCTTGGCAATAATCTATCTGCACTGTCTCTTGTACTAGACTATCAAACTTTAACAATTGCACAGGCATAGTGCACACCATCACAACCCCACCACCAAAACAAACCATGCAGCTGTTGAAGCAAATGCAATTTCGAACAGACCATGGGACAACAAGGATTTTCCACTTGAGATCTACTTGGTCTGTGTAACTTCTTTTTCTGAGATAACGTCCCACTGGTCCTATTGCATAAGTGAAGTCCTTTGGGGAAGAACAACTCAAACTACAGTAAACTTTGAGTAATGTTTTTTATCTCCATTTTTTAAACTTTTACATTCTCTTTAGCCTTTTTGAGGCTACTTAAGAGATTTTAAAATCAATAAAAATCATTTCTGCACAGCTGCTTGTATTAAAAACATTCCAGCAGATCATCACAATGTCTACACAAAAAAATACTATGATTTACTCTTACTTCTACAGAGAAAAAGGGTTGATGATTTCAACACAGAAATCCTGTTCTCAATTTTATTCTATTCACACAAAGTTCATGGCACAAGCGAAAGTTGACCGACAATGAGACAGTAATGAATGGGTACCAAGGTGATGAAAAGCAGCCCACGACCACCTACAATATCCCTCTTCAAAGCACTTTTATACCGATGCAAACCCATCAAACAAGGCAAAGAGACTGATAGAGAAAACAGAAACTAGCATACATCTGAAAAGACATGCAAGAGATAATTAAAACTTTACTTTAGATTCACTTCTCAGCCCTGAAAATTAATTAAAAAATCAAACACATGTAAATTTCAAATGTGAACATACATGTACAACTAAGAATCAACATTTGAGTCAAAATACAAAAGGTAATGACAGTGATGGGACTTGTATTCAGTAAAATGAATCCAAGGACAAGGAGAGACAGCTGAACATAAAATCTGTCCTCAAAAGTTATGAAAGCTCACACATCAAAGTAAAGCATCTTTTTCTGTACAGACAAAAAATAGTATAATGTTCAATCTCTCTTAATAGATATATTACTAGATACTACCAAGTGAAGTTTGAAATCAGTTGTGAAATTCTTTTTTTTAAGGGAACTGACTCTCTTGAAGTCGTGCTGCTAATAAGTACAACAAACATTTCCCTTCTGAATACATAGCCGCCAATCTTGTCTTCTAATGCCAAATGCTAACAGGTCAGGAGTTTCACTAACGAGTGTGCGGGGATGGGAATGTACCTCACCCCAATCAGCCATCCTTCAACATGCACAAATTTACGAGAATGAATATGATATCGAGTCTATTCACACTATACATAGGACAATCGTTAAATGCTGGATACTATGTGGGGAATTTGTTTAGTCCATTCCTTCAAACTTTTTTCCAACGCTTAACGTAACTGTCGCGTTTCTGTCTTTGTTCAATTCATAGCTTCCAGCTGAAAGCCTCTCCTTCAACTTATTCAGGAGACTGGGAATGGAAAGAGAAAAGGGGGAGGAGGAGGCAGGAGGCAGGATGCAGGGAAGGGGTCGTGCGGATGCAGATTTTCTTTTTAATGGAAGGGGGGGGGGGAGGTGTACAGGAAAATCGCCTGTAGGGGAGGCTAGGGTGGAGAGTGATCAGGTATAGATATTGCTGCAGTTTACAGTGGATGCCAACATACCTTAAACAAGTTTGAAACCCCAAATATTATTGTGTAATGCATTTTTAAACTTTGTAATTTAGACAACCCGTGAACTCAGGCAGTCTAAAGGCACAGTAACTCTATACGCATTACTGCCAAATCTAATATAAGGTATAAGGAGGGAAGCCAATTGAGGTGGATTAAAGATGGGTGATTTACCCTTCAAACAAATCTAAAAGTGAGGCATTTAGCATCCATTAACCACTAACAAAAGTAACAAGTTATTGTCTTTCATTTTCATCCATATTCATATCAGTCGAACAAAGAATCATAATAATGTCATGTATATAAATTCACATAGAATACTGAACATCTCTGGAGACAGCATGAACGTACAACAGATCATACTTCTTTGACTCTCACAAAATGTATTTAAATATAGCCATACAAGTACAAAACAGTCACAAATATTTCTGAAAGAAAACATTTACTTTGAATTTTACAACACTGTACTTAACAAACATATAAAATCCGTCTTAAAACAGGAATCTGAAATAGGAACAGGGAAAAGTTCAACAAGCAATCTAAAGCAAAACCAAGGTGGGTAAATGTCACACTTTTGCTTAAACTAATTATTTTTTTCAGATTCTGTTGAACTGAAGAGACATAAATCAACAAACTGTTCATTTAGGTTAACAAAATGAATACATTAACATGACAGGGATCAATAAATGTTAAGGAAAAGAGGTAAGATAGACAGACAACGGAAGGCATAAAAAGATGCAGACCCTATAAATGGTGCCCCCTCCAACTGCATACACTTTGTCATAAAAGATTGACACACGAGTAAACAAAGGCATCTTTTCAGGAAGACCATAGCAACACCTAACAACCACCCATGTCACCAGAAAGCAGATGCTGACCACAGCACCCTCATGAAGCAAAAACGTGCTCATGAGTAACAGGAAATAGTGGGCCAGATCTATAAACAATATTCTTCAACTGGCACAGGTAAGAACAATGGCCACTCTGACAAGTAGTACCCACAAAATGTGGCTGGTTCCACAGCATCATTAATGAACAAAAGAAACCCCCCCCAAAAAAAACTGTTTATAAATATCTGTGCAGTCTAGTAAATATCTGTGCAGTCTAGTAAATCTTCAGAAACTTATTTGGATGTGAGTTACTGAATTTTATTAGCTCAGTTGTGTTAAGACAATCAGAACAGACCTACATAATGAGAAAACAATTGGCTTCAAATCTACCCCTCTGTGCATGGTAAAAACAAAACAGAGAAAGTAAGCATGAACTTAACAGGGTACAAAGGCTTGATAGCTCACAAATCACTGGCATAAAAATCCAAATTAAAAGGGAGCGAAAATAGCGTAGCAGTGTGATGAAAACTAAGACAAAAAAATGTTTGCTTACCTCATCAACATGAGGCAATAGGAACACACTTACCTCCTCCTGAAAATCACTTTATTTCCATATTGTTTTCTTTGAAGGAGTAAGGAAATTTAATGTAACAATACCAAAAAGCTGGGTATCTGACAAATACCATCATATTTGAAGAGGATTTGTGGGCAGAGAAAGACAAGAGACTTAAACTTTTTTCCGTTTCCTCTCTGACTCATCCATATATAAGACAAAGGATGAAAATGGTTTGAAACTAAATAAATAACTTTTTAAAAAGCCTTTCTATCAATTTAGTCCCACCTAACCCAACCTGTTTCTATTAACTCATTGCATGCCATGGGTCTATCTATCAGCTCCGCCTCTTTCCCATTTTCTTTAGCTTTTCTTTCCACAAAATTAATCAATCTTTGTAATTCATGTTTTTAACAGATCTGTTTACCATACATCTGTCAACCAGTTCAAAGGATGTTGAAAGTAAAAACAGTTTAACGCTTCCAAATCTAGTCAATACGACATCAAAACATTCTGCTTATGCGACAGATCCACAGCTTATGTCGTGAACATGTTTCTTTATGTGGTGCTGGTATATCTTATAACCCACAAATGGATCATAATTGTACCAAAGCTGAAAAAGTGTTGGGCAAACTGATGGCTCCCTTGGACAAAAGACATATCTTTGCACATCATTTGAACTCCTCGGTTTCCCCTTCTGCAAAAGCAACATTTCACAAAGAACAGTCCTTGTAAAGCAGAGATATTTCCCTCAACAACTGAAAACTCTGACAATGGCTCACAAAGAAATGAAGTGCTTTATATCAACGGAGAACCAATATCTTGATATTGCTTTGAGGTACAAAAAACCCAAGAGGCTTTGTAGCCTTGTTTTGAGTAGAGCATCTGAAGAGACCACCACTTTACCCAATGCAAGGGGAGACATTGCTAACTCATTTGCCACTGTTTTTATACGACCATAAAATGAACAGTTGTGATCGACTGAACCCAAATGTGTCAAACTATGGCATTTTCAACTGCAAAAACTGTACAGTGGAGGAAAAAGCTCTTTCTCTGGCTGTTGGAAGTGAGCCAGGTGAACAACCATATTTTTTGCTGAGAGAGCCAAGGCATCAAAACCAAGCTGATGGACTTCAAAGTCCCAACTGCTCCAATTTCTGCCCCCACCCCCTCACCTCCTTTGCCCTTCCTCTGGGCTCCTGACTCTTTCTGCAGCCTTTCTACTGCTACTCCTTGGCTCCTTCTTACTGCTCTCTTTCAGCCACACCCCTGATCTTCTGGAAGGAAAGATCTACACCTAGCCTTCTCGGACAAGGGGGAAAAATTTTGGAGGTCTCGAGTGCAAGTTGCGCACGTTAAAGATCCTTTGGTGGTCTAAAATCGATAAGAGTAGGCTTCGGCCACCACCTGAGCAAAAATCAAAATTTCCTACCCACTGAAAATGTTTGGGGTGTCCCACGCGCTCATGTGAACTTATGCAGTTGTTGACAGAGTACAGTAACAGTTTGAAGCACGAGTGCACAGTGCTATTTTTTAAATAGTGAATGAATACACCAAATTCTTACACCTTAGGAGTGTATGAGAAACTTTGCCTGGTTAGAGCAAATTGGATATACCATCTCAATATGACCAAGCTTTGAAGTGATGTAGCAGCAACACACTATGCAAAATGTAAGTTAAAATTTTGTGCTCGATTTTTTAAATTCCTTCCTCCTCCCCTCCCTTTTTCCTCCTCATGTTAATTTATCTCTCTTTTAGTCTGTATAAATGTTTTTTCTAAGTTTGCATTAGATTTCTTTGATTCTGCATTCATATAAGTCACAAAAAAAGGACAGGGGTACCTAAAAATTCTAAATCCAAGAAAATGCCTAGATCACAGCACTGAAAATGCCTTGGTAGGCAAAGAGTTTTGTAGAAACAAATGAACTGTTCTCCCTAGAGTAGTTTTTATACATACAGGAAGAGAAGTCAAAATAACATTTCTTCTTCAGCCACTCGAAACACCAATACATTTTGCCAGAGGTCATATTTCTAATGAAATATGCGATTTGTTCTAAATATAATAGTATTACTTGACCACTTGGAAAGTTTTTCTTCAGAAATTGCAAAAAAGTGTCTAAAACTGACTGAAGTAGGCCCTGAAAACTTAAAAACTTTGAACGACACTACATTGTGTATAATGTTATAAAGGCATCAGTGATAGAAATCTTGCAAGTATTTATGGACATTATACACCACTTACTTGTTTTCTTGTCTGGCTGCAGGAAGAGAGAACCTTGAAGCCTGAATTTTGTTAAATTCCTGCTGCAGCCATCTGAAAATCATAGTAAATTTGCATTTTCTATTGAAGAACTTTGCAACTATTTACCATAAAAATTCACACATGAAAATCCAATGGAAATATGGGCAGTACCAAACACATTTGAAAAACAGATAGAATCAACTTAGTATACCAGCTAGTACAAATTCAAACTGCATCTGCAAATCTGTAGGAATAATTGCAAGCTCATTCCGTATGCAGAGGAGTAAAATAAAATCATAAACATGTGTCAAACTGTATCAACTCAACTCCTAAGACCAGCATATTTTGACTGCTTAGAGTAAGACTCTTCCATATGCTTTTCTTAGCAATTGATATGTGATTGTGCAGCATTTAGGGTGGAATTCCACACTCTGTTTTTGTGTCCGGCACAAGAGAAAAGAAAAGAGAGTAAGAAGAGGTGGGGATGGTGAGTGCAGAGACAAAACTGTAGTTGTTTCCCCGTCCCATCGGACAAGTCAGCTTTATCTCAACACTCATACCAGCTAGCTTGAGAACCAGTTTGACAAGACACAAAACTAACAAATGCTAGCTTGCCCACACAGTTTCAGAAAGACCAAAAGCTCCCAAGTCTTGAGATAAAAAGGAAAAGTAGCTATTTCTTAAATGCCACTAGACATCATAGTTGTTAACCCTATCCTTATGTCATGTTCTACTATTGTGTCCATACGACGAGGGGAACTCTGTACCACCACTTTCCCAAGAGGAAATTTACTCGTTAATGCGATCCGTACGCTTTGCATAGCAGTCTGTCAAAATGATTTTTTGAGAAATACTGAAAATTTCAAAGAGATCTTCGCACTAGAAGTATTCTAAAATGTGAAGAATACAACCCCGGGGGTACAATATGACCCCAGGGCATACGAATAGGGTTAAATCATGTGGACTGTTGCATACAGGCCAAAATACCAAACAGGAAAGGGAGAGGTACACCAATAAAGCCGTATTTTGACAACCCCCCAACACCCTTGACTAAACTCAAGGAACGAAGTACAAGGTTTTTCCTCAATGCAAATGACAGAAAGGAGTGGAGATGATTAACGAAGCACGCTCCAGGATGCTTACAAGTAAAAGGCAATTGGCCAGCCTTGGCAAAGGTAGTATAGCCAGCCAGTCTTTCTCAATAATAAAAACTACCAACAGCATATTGGCAAGACGCTTATATTTGTATCCTATACACACACAAAAAGTGTGTACCAATAACTCAATTGGAATCATGCTGGACTACAGGGCAGATTTCCCTGGTTTAAATCCCCTCATTTTGCCTGATCATATCAGAGATGGACATTGGAAATCAGAGGTTTTGCCTCTTAAATAATCTTGTAGTGCTTAAACAGGCATAAAACTCATGTCATACCATCAACAAATTGTAAGCAAACCAGAGAGAACAACATACTGTGACAACCCCTGTTCAGGATGGGTCAAAAGTGCCTTTCTTAATTGTACCCGATCAGCCAATAATTTTTTTTTGCAGCAAGGAATGCATTTACCATACTCTAATATGCCTGTTCACGAGCAATGAAATTCAATAGGAACACCAAACCTTTGTCTTCGGACAGGGTAGCTTTGGTTTTTCATTTCTGTGGTTGCAGCAGCCAGTGCAGCCTCAACAATGTCAAATGTTCCCTCATCCCTGGCTGGAAGGTGGAAAGTAACATTTGTGAAATTATAAGAATCTTAAAATACCAGCGGAAATTGATCAAAGTCAAAGCCACACTCCTAGCCCTGTATCCACTCTGATGGTAGGCTGAAGAGCTCCAAACATCTTTGCGATATTTGTTAATTTTAAAATTTACCATCTTGGACCCTCTCAGGAGCATACATGGTTGCATGCTGCTAATCTATCATTAACATGTCCCATTACTGTTGAGGGAAAACAGGCTAAATAGTCTTAAATACTTTTCCAACGGGTGCTAAAACCTATAACATTCAGCCAGAAATCAAACTCACAGTTTTTGGCTATAAGATTTACTACTAAACCAAGACATGCGTTCAAATTCTACCATTTCTTCAACTGAGTTCCTGACAATCAACATTTAAAATTTGCACCCATCTTAGTCTGATATCAAGAGGCAAAGGTAAAAAAACATCTAACGAAGAAATAAAATACAGAAAAAAAAAGCACAGAAGTTATACTTACTAAGAAATAAATTATTATATGTAGTACTCCATGGTTAGAAACTACATCACATGAAATCATCTGAGAGAACTATTTGTCTGGAGAACTTTTAGCCTACATCAAAGCACTTCAGTATTATAGTTTAAAATGCACGTGAGCAAGTAAAGGAATTTTTCTTTCCAGGCTCACAAACCTTGTTTTGAATTAAAAGATTGACAACAGAAGAATTAATAATCTGACATTGCCAGATCATTTTCTGTCGATAGTTGAATCATAGTGTAACAGGTACTGAGAAATGCATGCCCAATGGGCAACTCTTCAGTAATAATAAGGCTCTTCACTGTTTAACGCAAAAGATGAGTTTTGTTCCAATGTGAGGAAGACTTTTATATTGAAACACTGTTTCTTTTCTTTTGGTGTGCTCTTTCTCACTCATCTCGGGCTAACCCTGACAGGATCAGTAAAAGCAAGATCGGCTAAAACAGTCCATGTCCTAAATTTTCTAACTTGTGTTTATGAAGGTGTGTAAAACATTGCAATTAATTACACAGTTTATGAAGGTGTGTAAAACATTGCAATTAATTACACATCTATGGCCTGAAATTTCTCAAAGAAACACTGTTCTATTTCAAACAAACAGAAGCAATCATGTTTCATCATTTCTTTTTTCAAACACACAAGTACTTATATATTCGAACTAGGCCAATAGTTCTACACCCTGAGACATCTAGGTAAAAGAAAAACAAAAAAGAAAAAGAACACTCACCACACACTGTAATACTTTGTAGGATGAAAGTGTTCCCATAGAGAATGGTAATACATCTGTCCAATCTCTGTCTGTGTAGGTCCTCAAAAGACCTAACTAGTCGGGTCCTTGAATCCGAGATCACTTCTTGTATCTGAGTCAGGTCCACTGTAGAAGAGAACACAGAATTTAACTCCAGATATCTTCGCCGTCGTGCACAAACCTTGTAAGCGACAGCATTTTTAAAATTTACTTTTTTGGCTTATAAGATTCTGTATAACATACAGTATGTCCCAGTCAAACGATATTTGACACAGGTGAAAAATAAGTACATGAAAACACAAATGAAAAAACCTCTGATCTCCAACAGCATGAAAGCCGTCGGGCAAAAAACTAGTAAAAGCCAGCGTAGCGCTTTGGAGTTTTGTGCCCGGCGGCCCTGCCTGCTCAGCTGTCACACCACGTCGCTTATGTTGAGTAATTGTAACAGCCTAACAATAGTTGTATTGCCCTACGGTCCATCTTGAGCAAACGTATTACCTCGGGTCTTTTTTGTTGTTTCACTTTGATTGATTTCATAGTGGATCTGAATCAAAGGTAATAGTTTCGTTAGGATGCCTACAACGTTGCCCTTGGCGAAGGGACAGATTAGGTACTTATATGGTGGTTCACACTTAAAGCACGTTGTTCACTATTCAAACTGAGCTCGGTCTTTTCCCCTAACATCAAAGTCAATACAATACATTGCAAGGAGCAGGAACATTTGAAAGCACCAAAACTAAAATATCATGCCTTGTGATGCCCCATAAAACTTTAGAAGGTCTAAATCTGTGTATGGACATGGAAAACAGCCTTTCTGTCTGCGTACACCAATCACATTAACATCTAAATATGTTAGATTTCCAAAAGTTTTCTTCCTGGTAACAACCAAAGCAACAAATTTTGCCGACACCTAAAGGCTTTTAACATGATGCTGTATAAGTTAGGTTTGTATGACCATCAACAGGGCTGATGACCAAATTAAAATTTGTGTCTTGAAAAATCTGTATACGAGAAAACTCAAAAGTTCACTCATAAGATTATTGTCAAGCGAAAGGTGCATTTGTTTTATTCTTCGCTTAAAAATGTTTCCTGTCAGCTGAAGCCCACGTTTAGTTCAGTTGTCCCTTTCGCAATCTGACAATAAATGTCCTCATCGCCAAGGCGGGAAATCTTCCCCTAAATCATTGCCGCTTAATGAAATATCAGGAAGTGCCATTGAAGACATCGCGGACAAGGTTTTCTTGCAAGAGACACCAGAATTAGGTATTTCTGTGCCATGCTTTGACAAGTCGGGTTTTCCATTAGCTACTTTTCAATGCCCCGAAAAAATTGCCAGTAACCACATTTGACCTAATTCAACCAATTTCAACCACTACTGGAGAGCTCCAGGCGCTGGCTTCTTGTCCCGCCCTTTCGGTTCCATCAAGTTCTCTTGATGCTACGTTGCAGTGAGACATCCCTGCAGTTCCAGCAGATCATGCTGATGTCACAACTGACGTTACTCCGGCTTCAGTTGTTGGCACTATATTCCCTTTGCATCACCTAGTGACACAGCTGACATCCCCTCAGCATCGTTTAGTGACACTGCCCTTCTTGTGTCAGATGTTGGCACTATGGACTCAGCCAAAAACCAATCAGTATCAGCTGTTGGCATGGTCATCTTTGCAGTGGGCATCGGGTACTGACAACAGTCTTGTAACTACCCGTGCCAACTGCAGAAGTACTTCCTGCCAATGAAGAATTAACTATCCTGACCCAAAAAGACAGGGGAAAAAAAGTGTTGAAAATTGGCAGAGAAGCGAACATTTCTCAGGGAGTCGGGGCAAAGTAATGTCTCTGCCAAGGGCGTCCAACGACCCGCATGCCAACTTCTGGAACCTTGCAACCCCACCGGCAAAGAGTTGGGGTGTAATTCTCTTTCAGACAAAGACAGAGCAGTGACCTTTGACTTTGTGTGGTCACTATCATAGGAAAATCAAAAAAGCGTACGTCGACTGTCTAGTTGACAGGGATGAAGAAGTGGAAAGCTTCAGAAGCATCCGAAAGGTCTATCTTCCTTGCTCATATCAGCTCTTCATAAAGGAAGGTGGAGTAATAGTTGTGTTTGCATGAAAATGTTCACCATTACTCTAGCTTTAGGGGACTGGATGATTCGAAATTCCACCGATTCTTAAGGGTCAGATTCAGAGCTGCCCTCTTGTTTGAAATGATGAGAAAGTGTTCCTGTAGATGAATTCTTCAGAATATTATCGAAATTCCATCTTACTGTTGTCGAAAACCTCGGCAAAGTGTTACCAGGGGCCCCATTTTCATTCTCTGGTGGAGAACCGGTACTTGAAAAGGAGTGAGAAACTGGGCCGCGAGGGCCTGGGACTAACAGAGTTCAAAAAGTAGTTTCATAACCACAATTTGGCGTTGCATCATCCCCAAAAGGGCCTGTGTGATGTATGGGAGTCCCACAGGGTTGGAAACATGAACAAAGAGATAATGGAACACCACGTGAGGCTGAAGTAGAGAGCCTTTTTCTGAGAAAGAGATGGACAACAAACTGTCTCTTGAAGGTTCAGTGAACTGAGTCAGGACTGTTGCCATTTGTATGAACTTGGAATCTGTGCTTCTTGCTCCTTCACTTCAGGCATCTGTCATCTACTGCTAGACAGGGGAACATAAGTATCTAGTCAAAGGAACACTCACATGGACGTTGATTCCTACCATAGCCTGATAGAACGAGCATCAAAAGATGTTCCTATCTTCCTGCCAGCGACGTACATTAGCATTATGGGCAAAGCCTGGCGCAACCCCAGACTCTTTGAGGTCATTGTCAATACTGTGATAACACATTTTTTAAGGATGGTTCTAAATGCGGATCAATCAATAGTGAAAGAGGTGACCCACATATTGTAAACACTTGTTGTCTTAGGTATACGCCAGATCGAAACAGATCCTTCAAGTTGACCTTTTTTTTTTTAGTATTAGTAGAGGGTTTTACGGCGCTCGCAACTGCTAAGGTCATATGAGCACGCGGATGACCTTTGATGAGGGGTTTGAAGGATCATCCTCAAGAAAGGGAGTATGCAGAGGTAGCTAGTGAAAAAACCTGGAAGTCATAACACAGAGGCGTTGTAGATCATGGACGTGAAATTCAAACGCCTCCAAGGACAAAAAGCCAATATCCCTAAAGACTATTCTACAATAATATGTGAATTTAAATAATCATTTCAACTACATCTGAGAGAGAAAGGAGGAGAAGATTAAGAGAGAGTGACTGGCAGAGAGAGAGAAAGAGAGAGAGAGAAAGAAAGAGAGAGAAAGAATGAAAGAAAGAGATATGTGAGTGTGAGTGTGTGTGTGTGTGTTCTTTGAAAGGCCAGAAAACTGTAGAGAGAAGAGAACCAACCTGTAATGAGGGGCTTTGAGCCAAGTGCTCTAAGACAGACCAGTTGGGCCAAGTCCTGCTGCAGGCACAGAGTCAAGTTCTCTGGGTGACGCTTGGCCGAAATCAGGGTGATCACTATACCTTGTTCCAGTTTCTGAATTGCATCTGTCACCTTAAAATAAAAAGGGGAGCGAGAATAAATTTTGTCTTACAGTGGCACTTTTATTTAAATACGATTTTCACTACAGGGAAGAAATTGGAGTTGTTGGTTTTTTTTAATGCATGATAGCTACAGTTAGGGTAGCAAAATCGAGAGGACCATTTTTACTCTTTGTTCTGACAGTTTATTTGTTTGAGGAAAGAAAAGCACATCGACACAGTAATGGTCTATTAGCGCTGTGAGAAAACTAGAAAGACAGATGGAAACAAGAGGGAAAGAAAAGATGCAGAACCTACCAGTGGATACCTCCATCTCCACCTCCATTTTCCTCAGCCTAGCTCTACAGACAACAATATTGTAGAGGATGAAAAGTAAAATGTGTCTTAGAGTACAAATGGAGTGGCTTCATATTTCTCACACAAAAAACTAGACGATCCATTCAACCGGAACAGGCATACAGATGGGACTCCCTTCCCCTTCTTTTCAATTTCTCATTAAAACCCCTATACAGATTCACTGAGATTGAGATTTAGTGCTGAAGTAATATTTTTCTTCATTATTCTTTTACAAGGCCATGTCAATGTTACAGCACAAAACATTAGTAACATTGAAAAAAGAGGGATAACAAACATTTGAGAAAACTGAATAAGCTGATGCGCTTACTCAGCTTTTGAAACAGGGTTGATATGGCTATTTGTAATTACGATGAATATCCCCTTATTTCTTCAAGGGTACAATTCACAGTTTAAATCAAATAAGGAAGAGCTGAAAGAAGCTAGGTGGGACAGTCAAGTCACTATTAAACGCAATTACGAAAAGACATCCAGTTTTTAGGACAATGGAATGTACATCTGACCTTGAACATCTTTCTCTCACTAGGCAAATAAAAGGCATAAGAGGCAGAGACAAACTAAGAACAACTTACTCTCATAGAACTCCAACAGATGGGTGATGTGAGAAGGCCAGGGTGAAATTATTTTTTTTTTGGAGAGCATCAGAGCAGACAAATGAGTCGTGAACCATAAAGACTGATATTTGTTTCCATACTTTAGCACTCGACCAAAGAGAAGCACAAAAATTATAGTTGTATTTTTTTCACTCACCGGAGACAACGGCGGTCCATCACCAGAGAACCACTGAGGTTCGGAGACAAAACGTCTTGGTAAGGGGGACACAGGAGGTGTACTAACTGCAGCAAAACTTTTGCGCCCCATAAATGCTTGGCCATATTTAGACTCTGCCATACTAATGTGGTGTCCTGTGCCTTTTCTTCGGTTCCTGCTGATTATGTGAACCACATGATATGTACTGAACGGTGTTATGGGCAGAGGAGTTGTGAAAGAGTCATCTGCAAAGAGATACATTGAAAGAGAAAATCACATGACATGAAAATTGTTTATAGTTCAAAAAGAAAGGACTCATTAATGCCTTAAAAGTAGTGCTAAAAACCTATATATTATGAAAGCATTCAAGTTCTCAAAGGAGAAGTTGTGCTTTTGAACAGCTTCAGAAAGACACTTAACGTCCTGTATTGTAAAGTGTTCATATCCTGTCTCTTGATGTCACTGCTGTTTTTGCAGTAGAGGTTTTTAACAAGCGCAAATACAGAATATTTTGATTAACATCATATATGAGGAGATGAAATAATTCTCGAGAAGCAAAACAACTTTTAAAATACTATTTAAAAAAGTACTGAAAAAAAAATTTCAACTAACAACTTGAAAATCTACAAAGCTAATTACAGCTGAAGAGATAAATAGGGAGTCGGCTACCACTCATTCATGATGAGCGATATGACCCCTTTTCAAGAAAATCAACTGATAAATCTAAAACAAAAACAAAAAAATCAGCATACGGGCACACACACCTTAAAAAGTTTAAACTTCAAATCCATCCCCGGCTATGTCTTCAAATAGTATGATTTGAATCAATGCAAGAAACGAGTGTGCACTGACAGCTTGACCTCAGCATTCACTCACTGCATAAATATCCCACCTCTGTGAAGCTATTACAACTGGTTTAATTCATTAAATTACACAGAAAACAAAGCTGCACAACAATGGTTATTTCTCGGGTCAAATCTCTTACATGCAACAAGGTATAAGATTGAACTTGCATTGGACGGAATTTTCAACTCAACAGTCCTGATATCGAAAAGGCCATAAATAATTTATCGGGGGGGGGAGCTAATCTTTAACACTAATGCTGCAGTACACCAGATTTGTCCAGCAGGGCATGGTCACAATAAAAGAGGGCCATAAAAGTGAGGGTTACAATATTCACACGACAATAAGTGGAAACTGTGTCAGCAAGGATTACATCACTCATCAATCACTTCTGTGGACACAGTTTATTACAACATGACTTCAGGCATTGCTCTACTACACAGTCCTGAGAGAGAGAGAGAGAGAGAGAGAGAGG